CTACCCACCTCGGCCTCCCAAAGTGCTGGGATTACAGGTGTGAGCCACTGCGCCCAGCCAACACTTTGTTTCTTAAGTCAATTAATTAGAGCTCTTTTATATATTTTCAGTAGTGAAACACTGTGTACACAACACGTAAATACATAGATATATTGGGCATGCTGATAGAAGTACATCTTATAGATTTATAAAAACCTTTTTTTCCCTTTAGACTTTCAGATTCCTGATAAACTGTTTCACAACCCCAGGCAGTTGTCAGCTAAATAGCCTTAAATTTGCATACTAAAGGAAACAACTCAGGTGAAAATCATAGAGCAAAATTTACATCATAAGGTACAGAGAGGAAAAAGTCTGGTGATGTTAGAGGGAGATTAAAAATGGATGCCAAATTAAACATAAAATTATAGAAGTCTATCATAGGATTCTATAAGGAGACTAATTTTATTTAGGTAGGGACTGACTACCTATCTTTTAACTGGATCTCTGAGCTCTGGGCAGAGCCCACACTGAATCCTGGGTCTCCAAAAAGGAAGAATTAATGAGATTAGACCACGTGGTGCTTACACAGTGTACTTAGAAAAAAGAAAAGTAAACAAAGACATTTCTAAGTGTCTAAACCACACTCTTCCTTAAAAACCCAAGAGTAACCTCTGTTGCAATAACTATTTTAGTCAAAAAAAAAAAAAAGTAACACAATATAAAAGTAAGCTGTTCAAGAACTGAGACAAACTTGTCTGCTTACATTCTTGAAAAAACTTGTTTTCCCTGGAAAGGGAGTCCAGTGCCTTCTCCATTTTCTTTAAGGAACCCCAGGGTATTATAAACTATTTTAGGTCCTCCATGCAGCAGAGGGTGCAAGAGAAAGGAGAGATAGTAGAAATAAGTGAAAAAAACAGAATTCTGTCAACTGAGAATAAAAAAAACTTTTGAACGTTGGCTCAAAAAAAAAAAAAGGTCCCAGGAGAAAAACAAAAATATGAAGGCCTTTTAAATACAAACACACATATATGTGTGCACACACACACATACACCTTGGATGTTAGGTTTTAATTAAGCTGATTTTTAACCATTGAACTCCTTTAAAAGAAACTTTTAAAATTCATTACCATATTTCAGCTAGGACAAATTGCTGCTATTTCAGAAGTACAGCCATTGCTCTTTCAGTTTGGCCCGGCTAACAGAAAGGTGGCCTTGTTATGTAAATAAAGCCCCTTAGTCAGAATCAAAAATTTTTCTTTTTTTTTTTTCCTCCACCCCATACCACGTGTGTGTGTGTGTGTGTGTGTGTGTGTGTGTGTGTGTGTGTGTGTGTGAATTTAGCCACTTCAGAGGCCTTGTTCCCCAAAATTTAGAATTTCCTTTGGATTTGATCAAGTCAGATAGAGTTGATCAATCCCAATGGGAAAAAGTCCGAAACAACAATGAAAACAGGAACGAACAGCAACAACAACAAAAACAGTTAAGCAAAACAATCACACAACTTATATCATTACTGAGCACTCTAATAGTAAGGAGAAATTAAGACCAGCTGGTTGTTAATCTTAACTTTAGCCAAGACAAACCCCAATTCAGTTACTTACCTAGGGATGGGTCTCAGGCTGTAGACTGCTCTCTTATCCTAGAAGCAGGAAAAAAAAACCTCATCTTTCCTGTTGGAAGCGATCTCAAACTCCATAAAGGAGTTACCTGTCCTTCATAGTCATGGAAACAGTAAATCTTGCCTTCCTTTTTTGGAAGCAAGTACAATTTTTCTGGAGTTTTACTTTTTTTTTTTTTTTTTTTTAAACAGCAAAATAAACTTTAGATCTCTACCACATTTGGGGAGATCAGGGATTCTCTGGAGGGGTGCTCTCAGGCCTCAGCAAATTGTCCTATTGGTTTGAGCCATAAAGTTAGCTCATGCTGGTACCAAGCGACAGGAGATTTGTCAAAGGTCAGGGGCATCTCCACTCAGAATCCCTTCATGGTTACCAAAATGTGAATGCTGAAAATCTGAGACAGGTCTCAGTTAATTTAGAAAGTTTATTTTGCCAAGGTTGAGGACATTTGGCCATGACACAACCTCAGGAGGCCCTGATGACATATACCCAAGGTGGTCAGAGCACAGTTTGGTTTTATACATTTTAGGGAGACGTGAGACGTCAATTAACATATGTAAGATACACATTGGTTCGGTTTGGAAAGGCTGGACAACTTGAAGCACAGAGGGGGCTTCCAGGTGATAGGGAGATAAGAGATAAATGGTTGCATTCTTTGGAGTTTCTAATTAGCCTTTTCAAGGGAGGCAATCAGATATGCATTTATCTCAGTGAGCAGAGGGGTGGTTTTGAATAGAATGGGAGGCAGGTTTACCCTAAGCAGTTCCCAGCTTGACTTTTCCTTTTAGCTTAGTGATTTGGGGGGCCCAAGATATTTTCCTTTCATAACAGTGTTGCACCTGTAGCTTGCTTGGCTCCGCAGATAGGGCTGCCAGCTTGACCAATAAAAATACAGGATGCCCAGTTAAATGTGCATTTCAGATTTTAAAAACTAATGTATTTTCAGTATAAATACGTCCAAAGTAGTTAATGGGACACCTTTTTAGCTGGCAACTGTGCTGTAGGAGAACCTCTAGGTAATTCCCTAAACTAAGTTCCTTCCAAAATTAGTTTCACCTACCTACAACCAGGAATGAACAAGAACAGCTTGGAGGTTAGAAGCAAGAGCAGGATGGAGTCAGTTAGGTCAAATCTTTTTCACTGTCTCAGTTGTAATTTTGCAATGGCAATTCCGTAACTTCAAATAATGACAATCGCAGTTTCTACAGGTGATCCAGGTAAATGATTAAAAGTGATCTAGGTAAATGATGCCCATTTTGATGTTCTTCCATCTTCTGGGTGGATTCAAGTCAGTGAAGCCTCAGGCACAGTTCTGTCACTGGTAAACTTCTGTCAGCACTTCAAGGTGTTGGGGTTTTCTCTTCCAACGATTGCAGCTTTGAGACTCTGGGTTTCCTCTCCTCGTTTTTTAACTTAGTGGACCATTTCACAGAGTGCCACTTAGCTAGCCATTTAAGGAGTCCTTAAAGTTTACTGATTAAGAGCATCATCTCTCCTCATAGACTACCTGGTTTAGAAGCCTGAATCCAGCACTTACTAGCTATGTCATAACCCTGGACAGGTTTCTTAGCCTTTCTGGACCTCAGTCTTCTCATTTCTAAAATGAAGATGAAAATATTACCTGGTCTGTCAGGTTGCTGAGAGGATTAAGTGATGCCAAAGACATAAAAAACACTTAAAAGAATTGCCATATGGTGGTATATGGCGAGCACCCCAAAAAAGTGAATTACAGTTACTATTTTATTTCTCTGCAGTGAACTTCTTGTGTAGCTTATATAGAGGGACTTATTTACAGGAACTCAGATTGTTTTTGTATCTTATATGCTCATCTAAGTATAGTGATTGCTTTGCCACAGGCTAGCCTTTCTCTTCTTCATTCAAAGCCTTGCGAGTGATTGACCTATTCTGTTGACACATTAGTCCTCCCCTCTTAGCTCTCCTGACCATGAGGAAGCAGGTTCTGCCAGCTTTATTCCCAGATGCAGCTCACCAAGCATTTGTATGTTGAAACTGCATTTCTATGGTAACTTACGCTCTGTATTCTCCCATTCACTTCTCTGAGTTCGGTAAATTATAGTTGGATTCTCTTTGTAGCTATTTATCTGAAGAAACCGTCTTTTCTAGCTTCTAGGTTCCAGCCAAGAACAGAGACCTACCTGTTCTGTTCTACCCATCATTGTTCAGCCATTTTTCTTCTCAACACAACCAAGATCATCAAATTTTATAAGCCATGATTCTCATTTTTAAAGCCTATCAGTTTTTCACAACCTCCTCTAATTGGAAAGCTGTTGTCTCCCTATCACCTGTGAGCACATGGTTCTGCCAGTTTTCCCTTTCATGGCCTGGCATGCTGAATAGCTACAGTTGGAATGTTCCATCAGAATTAATTGAAAGGTTGTTGGCTACCCATCAATGAGAAAGGAGTCATAAAATAATCCTGAAGCACTGAATAATGCTTTTTGCGTCATAACTTGGAGAACGTGAGATAATTCTGGATATAATGAAATTCAGAAATGTCAGCATGATTCATTTACGTTAAAGTAGATGTTTTTCATTTTAAAAAAATTTAGTGTTTCAGGTTTGAGACAGATTTCTTTATTTTAAAAAATTCTCTAAGTCTTAAAACCAACAAAACATCACCAGAAAGAAACACCACCAAAATAGAAAAAACTGAACTATTTATATCACACCTCTAGCCACTCTGTCTCCCTCAAAGTTGTGGTAAGATGGGGAAAAGATACTGAGCAATCTGTTTTGTTACAATCTGGTTCTCATGCTAAAACAGGGTTGCTAGTGTTAAATAAAAATATAAGACCCTTGGTTAAATTTAAATTACAGATTTATCAACAAATTTTCAGAATAAATATGTCTTAAATATTATAGAAAGCATATTTAAAAATTATTCATTATCTGAAATCCATATTTAACTGAGCATTTTATATTTTATCTCACATATATGCTCTAAAATCTTAAACTATAAGATCTTTTCTCTGAAATATGTAACCTTTGGTTGACTATTCTAGGGGTCAAGGATTTTAGAGTGATATAAATTATAGATATATATTTACTACTACAGTTTTTCCTTGTATTGGCCCCAGTTGGATCTTATCCAGCTTGGCTTATAAAAGAGGTGTTTCTGAAGACTTGTTTATTCTGTTGTCTCTGTTCTCTAAAATGTGTCATTTTGTGATATGGAGTTTAATTTATTTTATTTATAAAATTACCTATTGATGATTAGTCTTTTTTTTGAATAAGTATTAGCTATTGATAGTTTTTGCTTTATGTATTTTGTGTTCAACTAATTCCATTATAATTTAATATCATTATGAAAGAATACATTTAAGCCTAATCAAGATTTTTATTTTTACCATTTCATAAACTTAAGTACAATTTTTCACCCAGGTCTGTTAGATGCACAAAGCATAACTGGAAATTAGATGTGAGCACCATGAAGTATATCAACCCTCCAGAAAGCTTCTGTCAAGATGAGCTGGGTAAATACCACCAATATCAATAAATGTATTCTGCTATTATTGTTATTGTGGTTCTTGTCAACTTAGTTCTAATCTTACTTGAAGCTTAGGATACATTCTGATTTTAAACTGTTAGATCTCTTAAGTACAAGGAGACTTAAAAAATTTTGTGGAAAATGGAATTAAGAGATAAAAAATATAAGCTGTATTTCTCAACATAGGCTCCATCAAGGCCAAGATGCATTTGTAAGCGATAATATCAGCCATTTTGTCTGTCCCTAAAGGACTCTGAGAGTCCTGGGAATTTAACCATGTAAATGCAGTCTTTTTAAAACTATTAACCAAAGAAAAATGGGTGCCCTTTAAAGTTTTTTTTTTAGACAGAGTCTTGCTCTTGTCACCCAGGCTGCAGTGCAATGGTGTGATCTTGGCTCACTGCAACCTCCACCTGCTAGGTTCAAGCAAGTCTCCTGCCTTAGCCTCCCAAGTAGCTGGGATTACAGGTGCCCACCACCATGCCCAGCTTTGTATTTTTAGTACAGACAGGGTTTCACCATGTTGGCCAGGCTGGTCTCGAACTCCTGACCTCAGGTGACCCACCTGCCTTAGCCTCCCGAAGTACTGGGATTACAGTCATGAACCACTGCACCCAGCCTAAAGATTGTTTTTTTTTAAGATTAGGAAAGAAAAAAGACAGAAGCAGCCAAATTGGGACCGTAACCAGGTGGATGCCTAATGATTTCCCACAGAAACTCTCACCAAATTGCCCTTGTTTGATGAGAGAAATGAGCAAGAGACACTTGTGTGGTGTGATTCTGGTGAAGCTTTCCTGGGCAATTTTCTGCTAAACCTTTGGCTAACTTTCTCAAAACACTTATAATAAGTAGATGTTACCACTCTTTGTCCTTGTAAAAATTCAACAAACAAAATGCCTTGAGCATCTCAACAAACTGTTGCCACGACCTTTGCTCTTGAGCAGTCTGGCTTTGCTGTGACTGGACCACTTCCACCTCTTGGTAGCCATTGCTTTGACTGTGCTTTGTTTTCAGGATCATACTGGTAAAGCCATGTTTAACCTTCTGTTACAATGCTTTGAAGAAATGCTTCAGGATCTTGATCCCACTCGTTTAAAATTTCCACTGAGAGCTCTGCTCTTGTCTACAGCTGATCTGGATGGTTTTGGCAGCCATCAAGTGCAAAGTTTGCTCAACTTTAATTTTTCAGTCAGAATTGTGTAAACTGAACCAATTAAGATGCCTATGGTGTTGGCTATTGTTTGTGCTGTTAGTTGTTAGTCCTCTTCATCTGGGGCATAAACAAGATTAATTTTTGCTTTGCAAATGGATACAGATGGTCTGCCACTGCAGGCTTCAACTTGAACGTTGTCTTCTCTCTTCTTAAAATGAGTTATCTATTTGCAAACTGCTAATTTCTTTGGGGTATACATGCACATGTAAAATTTTCAAAAAGTACAAAATTAAATAGAGTAAAAACCAAATTTTCTCTCCTCTGATCCCTAGTCACCAAGTTCCCACTCTAGAAGCAACTACCATTATTATTATTTTCTTGTGGGTCCTTCTAGAGGTATCTTTTGCATTTATAAATTAGTACATATTTATAATATCCCCTTCCTTAGAAGCAGACTATATACATTGTCCTCCACTTTGCTTTTTTTTGAATGGCTCTTGAACTTAGAAAGTAAAAGAAAGATAATATTGAATATCTCTAAGAAGCAAAGTGTTGACCCAGAAGCTGCTAGTGAGACTTCAACTTCTCTTTCCCTCCCATCCATTAATGTAAACAGAGGTTTCTATTTTGTACCTGGGCATGAGGGAGAAAAAGGAAGAGAAATTGGGTGGTGGAGTCTGTGGTTTGTGGGGAGCTAAAAATGAGAATTGTTCTGGCCTGTAGACCGGGTCGGACTGCCCAAGCCCAGGAAAGTGGCAATCAGAAAAATAATGGCACTATTTTCCGGAGACAGTTGGAGGATTCATGGGAAGTAGGAGATGGCCAGAACTTATTATCTGACAAAGAAGAGCCATTTCACGTCCTGGTGACCACATGTGGCACACAATTGGAGAGGAGGCTATGTCTTCCACCTAGCCTTGGAACCTAGCAATGATCTGACACTCCTCAAACTTCTAGGCAGACAATGTGGAAGATTATAAGCCAGAGTAGGAAAAGAGGGAAAAGCAGACACCACGCAGTTACAGATCGGGTTGTGGGCATGTGTGTAGCATACTTTTGGGGAAGTCCCCAAAATACGTTCAGGACACTTGAAAATGTGCTAATTTCTAGTCAGCAAAACAGTTGGGGCTCTTGCCATCATCATTTGTGCATAAAGATAGACTGCAACTTTATTTTATATTCTCAATCTGGTGAGGCCTGGGAAAACTGGGTTATTTGTAAAAATGGAAAATGCTAAATATACAACATATGCAATACCTTGTAACAGGATGGTGAAATGGAAGTTGGGGTTGCAAAACAACAGATGCCTATTCCAAAATGAAGTTCCGAGAAAGGATTTACAAAATAAGAGGCTGAGAACCAGTAGATCATTCTTAAATCCCTCACCCTTATAAGGAATACTAAAGCATAGAGGAGGAGTTTGAAATGTAACTTCTTAGGAAGAGTTATTTGGAAAGCTGTACTGAGAGTCCCTGCCCCTTGCAGGGGCAACTTCTGAGGGATGCCTGCCCCTCTCCTTAGGCCAGACGTTAACTGGACCACCTAGAGAGTCTGATATGTGTTCTCCAAGGTTGAGGGACACAGTGGACTGATGTCTGATTCTCCCCTGAGAAATCTCAACGGTGAAAGATTGGCCGTGTAGCTGTGACAGACAAGCTGAAGGAGAAGAGGTTGTGTTAGGCACCCTGGCACTCCCAGAATTCAGTGGGGCTGGAACAGATGAGTGTTTCCTATGGATGTGATGTGGGCCATGATTGGGAGGGGCATAAACCTAGAGTCATCCTAGGTCCAAAAGGCCTGCAGAGAACAGTTGGATGTATTGCTACCTTGCTGGGGCTAAGGAAAGCGTATGTAACTAGGTAGCATAGAGATACCCAGGTGCAGAGAACTTCAGGTGGGTGTTTCCAAGCAATTGGGTGGATTCTCACAATAACCCACTGAGGTGTCCCTTACAATCAGCCTTAAGCAAAAGCCAAGCCCAGATGGTGCTGCTGTTCTGTGACCAAAGGACCCTTGCTCTCTTTCTTAAACTCTCCTTTTTCCTCCAGCTCCATGTCTGGAAGGGTCAGGAACCTTGGATGAAGGAGTGAGGGGAGAGGAGGAATAGAAGCACTGGGTGAGGCCAGGCATGGTGGCTCACACCTGTAATCCCAACACTTTGGGAGACCGAGGTGGGTGGATCACCTGAGGTCAGGAGTGTGAGACCAGCTGGATAACATGGTGAAACCCTGTCTCTACTAAAAGTACAAAAAGTAGCTGAGCATAGTGGTGGGCACCTGTAATCCCAGCTACTTGGGAGGCTGAGACAGGAGAATCGCTTGAATCCAGTAGTCGCAGAGGTTGCAGCAAGCTGAAATCACACCATTGCACTCCAGCCTGTTTTTGATACACAAAGCAAAAAAAGCATGTTAGAAACATTATAAATAGACTCAATTATTTTTTAAAAAACATGCATAAGCACATGTGGGTGACATAAAGGCAGTCTTAGATTACCTGTGAAGGGAGCTGAGCTGGAAGCTTCCTGGGCCATGCCTCCAGACTGTGGGCTTTGAATATAATACCTTTAAAAATTTTTTTAGGCTCAAATTATTATGGGCATACTATATAGGTGTGACCACTCTCACCCATGTGTCTCTGTGAGACCAACTCCAAATGCCTTTTTAAACAAGAGTGTGTTGCCAGCATTTCTCCCAGTTCCCCTACAAACAGAGGTGTTACTTATTGAGGTATGTGTCCTTTGCCATTCACTACAAGGAAATAGAATGCTATTTTGGGGTGAGTTGCTAAGTGTTTTGACTACAAATTCACCCTCCCTCCACATCTCAAATAGGACACCTGGACCACTAGCTATTTTCTCCAGTGAACTCCACCCTGAATCTGTTGACTTAGCCCAGAAAGCCTGCCAGCTGCCTTATTACTGGGAGGTGGTTATGTGTGCTGTATAAATACTGCTAAATTTATTTGACATAAAACTGATAATAAACATGGGTTTGTACATAAACACTGTGTAAGTGAAAGGACGAGAGACTATCAATTTTATGAATATATAACCAAGTAATCTACAACTGCTTTTAGGGGCTTTTATGAAAATCTCTAAATCTTTTGATCAAGACCTTTACAGAGACAGTGTAGCAAAGCGTTAAGAGTGAAGGCAATGGGGCCTTCTTGCCTGGGTGCAGATTCAGGCTGCAATACACAGTCTGGGGACAATGGGCAATTTGGTCAATCCCTTTGTGCTTTAATTTCTTCAAATGTGAAATAGAAATAAAATTTTTAGTAGCCACCTTACAAAAAACGGGTTGTTGTAAAAAAAAAAAAAAAATTAATTGAATGCCTGTTAAATTCATGGTAGGTAGTACACAGAACATAATTTATTTGCATACATGTGTCTTAAATAATCTGCATATATCCTTGAGCCTGGGACCACAGGAGCAGAGATGAGGGATTTCCCTCCCAGCAGGAAGTGGGATGCATTGGAAAATTAGATTACGGCTACTGTTAACCACCATGCAGGCAAAAGGCAGGAGCCAGAGCTGGCAGCAGGGTCAGTAGGAGGGCAGGAAATAACAAACTCCGGGAATTTCAGCCTTAGCTGGAGTGAAGACACTGCCACGAACGGAACATTTGTTAACAGAGCTCACTTTTTAGTCCAGTGCTACCAACGCTGTAGGGATTTCATACCACATTCTGAGAAAGATAAGGGCTTGATCCGCCTGGGGACATGTTATCAACGTTGAGCATCTGGTTTTATTATTATTATAAAAAATACTATAAGGTAACAATTAAAAAGTTGGAATTCAGAAAAGTAGAAGGAAGAATCTCATTTACACTTA